CCTTCAGCAGCACTGGCAGGAGGGATGAGTCCAGCTGCCTCTTCCCAGCCTGCAAAAGTGCTGCTGAAGGTGCCAAGCCCTGAAAAGGTGAGAAGAGTCGTGTTTACCAGGTCCCTCACGGGAACTCTGTGCAGGCCCAGCAGACCTTGGAGGCTCAAGGCACGGCCCAGGACACCATCCATGGATATAATAACTCATAACTTCTTGGAGTGTAGGGGCTTCCCTCCCCCACCCCCAATGGATCAAGGCCACCACTTCAACTGACAGACATTGGAGCTGCAACTCCCAAGTTCCATCTCTGGACCCCGTGGGCAGTGACTATAGACAGCTTTCCAGCCTCAGCTTTGCTTTCCCTTACTCTCCCTTACCTTTATCCTGTCTTTCCTTTCTCTCCCTTATGCATTTGCCCTAAAGGTTCTCTTTATGCCATATTACTGTAGATGAGAGACAGAGATGATAACACCCAAAATGGCAACGTACCTGTTTACCCTTGAAACAAAATTGTTCTAAAATAAACCTTACCTATATATATTTTCAAACAGCAATTATTCAGTGTCGTTTCACTCTAATCCACCCTAAGGGATTTATTAATAAGAACCTGGGTTACCCCCCCCTTTCTGGGGCGGGTGGTAACAGACCCCTTGTAGCAGGATGTTTTGCCTGTAAAAGAACCTGATGGGAGAATACAAGCACTGCAAGCTCTCTGTGGGGAGTTACTGCTAGTGCCAAGGGGTTGGTTTAGTGTTGAATTGTGCCAAACCCAGCCTGGTTCCCCAACCTTCCAACACACATCCTGCTTTTGGAAGCAGAGTTTGACAGATCAGCTGCTCACTGGCCTGGGAAGATGTGACTGGAGATCCATCAGTGGATAAACATAAAAGCCCAGGGCCAACTTTCCTAGAGCAGATTCTTCCAAAGACTTTGTTGAAGTGTGTGCAGCTTCTCCTGTGAAGCAGGGACGCTTCTTGATGGGTCACTGCTCGGGGGGTAAAAGAAAGAGAGTTCTGCCTTGATTTATTTCTATCAGACCCCGCCGGGCCCTCCCCGTTTCCTGCCGGGATCGGACACCGCCGGCGGCCCCGGCCCTGCTGGGCTCCATCAGCCTGAGGAATTGCTGCCAAGGAGGGGCCGGGGGCTTCCTCTTGGCCTTCCTCTCCCTGGCGCTGGGGCTCGGCTTCTACCTGCGCCAGAAGGTGAGGGGGGTCCCAGGGGGTCGTGTGTCCCCCCAGAGCGTCTGTGCCCCCCCGGGGACCCCCCACCCCGGTGTCACCCCCTTTTCTCTCCCCACAGAGCTCATGAGTCGGCGGTGGCTGTAGCCCCTCCCCAGGGCCTCGGGCCCAGCCTGGACTCCCCCCGTCCCTGCGAGGATTTTGGGGGGGGTCGTGTGTCCCCCTTTCCCCTGCTGTCACTGTGCCTCCGCCCGGCTGCTCCCAGTGATCCCAGTAAAGCTTCCCAGTTCTCCCCACTCCCTGTTATAGGGGGTAGTAGGGGAGGGGATTGGGGGGATCCCAAGGGGTAGATCTGAGCTGGGGGGGTGCAGAACTGACCCCGGGATGGATCGGGAATGGGGACCCCCCTGTGTCCCCCAGTGTCAACCCACTCTGGGGGAGTTTTGAGAGGGCACCTGCCCCTCAGTACAGCACCCAGCTCACCCAAAAGGATGCTGGGAACCCCACTAAACATCCCAACAGCCCCTCAAGGAAGACCCCCAAACACACTCAAAGCCCACCCAGGACCCCACCCAGTCCCTTTTCTGGGGGGAACTTCTCTGGGCACTGGTGGTGCTGGGAGCCCCCCTGGCTGCGGGCGAGGAGCTCTCGGGTGAGTGGGGGGTGGGAAGGGGAGATCGGTGGGAAAAGGGGGTCAAAGGGGATAAAGGGGTGGTGGGACACCAAACTGAGTGGGAGGGGAGTGGGACCACCCAAAAGTGGAGGGGGAGGGGCACTGAGGTTTGGGGGATGATGGGAGAGGAGTGGGAGAAGTTAGAAGAGTGGGGAAAAGGGAGGGTGGCCCCCAAACTGAGCATGAGGGGGCTGGGGAGTAGGGGGATGATGTGGAAGGGGTGGGGGAGGGGGGAAAAAAGTGGGGATTGGGACTCCCAGAGTGACCCTGGGGGGACTGTGAATTGAGGGGACCATGAAAAAGTGGAAGGAACAGGAAGAGAGGTGGAAAAGGGGGGATGGTCTGGTGGGTCTGACAGTCCCATGGGGGTCTTTGGGCACAAGGGGGTTGGCAAAGGGGGGTGGCCCCACAGCTGCCAACTTCCTGTGGGGTGCTGGAGGCTGCTGGATCCAATCCCAGCTCTGGGTTATGCCAACATTTCAGTTTAGAGGAATTACAGAGGTGTGACTGAACAACTTTTGTCCCCCAGGTTTTAATGATGGTAAATCAGATCTATTGATAGAAAGGAATTTATTTAGGGTTATAAGTTATCAGACAAAAGATCTTCAGCAGAATTATTTACTGCACAATAGAAACACTGAAACTACCAGGAGTAAAGGATAAGATAGGACAGGGCTCCACACTAAAGCAGTTGTTGAAGCCATTCTACTCAAGCTGGCACAAAAGCAAGAATTCTTAATTAGAAATGGATGGAACTCCCCCAGACCAACGCTGGTGGGGAGATCTCTGCTCTCAACCTCCAGCAGTGACCTTGGGGGTCCCCAGCCAAGGCAGGAATCTCCACACATGCCCCAAGAAGGGTTCTGTTGGAAGAAGCTGCCCCTGTGAAAGGGGACTGGCCCTTTCTGATGGAAAGGGATGGACTGACAGTCACTGGACTCCAGGGGTTGCCTCACCATCAGGGGGTTCATTCGCGGTGGAAGCAATGGCTGAAGCTCTTCCCGCAGTCTGGGCACTGGTAGGGCTTCCCTTATTGGTGGGTCCGTTGGTGTGAGGTCAAGGTAGACCTCTGGGTGAAATTCTTCCCACACTCCCCACACTTGTAGGGCCGTTCCCTGGTGTGGATGCGCTGGTGGATGCGGAGGTAAGAGCTCTGGCTGAAGCTCTTCCCACACTCCCCACACTTGTAGGGCCTCTCCCCGGTGTGGATGCGCCGGTGGGTGATGAGGGTGAAGTTCCGACTGAAGCCCTTCCCGCAGTCGGTGCAGCGGAAGGGCCTCTCATCCGTGTGCGTCTGCTCATGCCTGAGGAGAGTTGAGCTGGTCTGAAACCTCTTCCCACATTCCAAGCACTTGTAGGGCCGTTCCCCAGTGTGGACGTGCTTGTGTCGGATCAGGTTGGCTCTGCAGTTGAAGCTCTTCCCACATTCCCCACACATATACGGCCGTTCCCCAGTGTGGACGTGCTTGTGTCGGATCAGTTGGGAGCTCTGCCTGAAGCTCTTCCCACATTCCCCACAAGTGTAGGGCCGTTCCCCAGTGTGGATCATCTGGTGTTGGCTCAAGGTGGAGCTGTCCTTGAAGCTCTTCCCACATTCCCCACAAGAGTAGGGTCGTTCCCCAGTGTGGATGCGCTGGTGGGTGCAGAGGTTGGATCTTTGGTTGAAGCTCTTCCCACATTCCCTACACATATAGGGCTGTTCCCCAGTGTGGATCATCTGGTGTTGGCTCAGGGTGGAGCTGTCCTTGAAGCTCTTCCCACATTCCCCACACGTGTAGGGCCGTTCCCCAGTGTGGGTGTGCTGGTGTCGGATCAGGTTGGAGTTGCTCCTGAAGCTCTTCCCACATTCCCCACATGGGTAGGGCCACTCCCCAGTGTGGATGTGCTGATGCTGGAGAAGGTTGAAGCTCTTCCTGAAGCTCTTCCCACATTCCAGGCACTTGAAGGGTTTCTCCCTGCGGGGGGATCTCCGGCCCTTTTCCTCCCCGCTGCCTTCCTGCGCCGGGGAGCCCTTCAAAACGGCCTCTCCCACCAGGGTCTCAAGGGGGGATTTGTCCTCCGGGCTCTCCGTCCTCAGCTCGGGGCCTGGGGCAGGAAGCAAGAAGGACAGGGAGGGGATTTGCCTCCGGCCCACAGGGAAGGCCAAGGACATCCCCCCAACTCCGGCCCCGGCAGGACGGCGGCGGCAGCGGGGTTGTCCTGCAGCCGGGGCCATGCTCGGCTGACAGAGCCAGCACAACACCCACCCAAAGGGCCACTGACTTCCTCCTCACCTGCCTGGGGGGCCCAAGGCATCTTCCTCTTCCTCGCAGCCTCCTCCTCCATCTGCCCAAGTTTTGGGAAGGAGAAATCCTGATGGGGGTAAAAACAAGGGCTGAGTGTGTTGGCTTGGGGGTTCCTCCTGCCCAAGTCCATCTCTAGAACTCACCGGGCATCCTGTGTCCATAAATACCTCCAAAACACCAAGATTCAGCCCAGAAAAACCCAAACTACCGAGATTCAGGCAAAAAACCCTCTCAGAAATAGTGAGGGCCGGCTGTGCCGAAGGAAACCAAACAGCCCCACAGGCGGGGGGACACCAGAGGCTGCCCCAGGGCAATGAGAGCAGGGAGCGGATCGGGCCCCCTGACACATGGGCGGGCTCTGGGTTCAGCCTGACCAGGGGCAATTTGGCACCAACAGCACGGCCTCGACCGCTGGCTCGGCACAGGGGGTCTGAGCTCCCAACTCTCAAGGCTCTCCAAGTTCTCACTGCTCCCCCCTCTCTCCAGGTTCCCCCACTCTGCAGGGATCAAGGCATGGGAACACCAAGGTACCCCCACAGCAACCCCGCTCCCGCTCTCCTCCCTCCCCTTACCCCCCCTCTCTCACCCTGTTTCCATCAGCTCACAAACCCCAGCTCCCTTTGGGGGTGACCCACCAACCCTCACGCTCCCTTTGGGGGTCCCACCCGCTCTTTTCGCTTCTCTCCCCCCTTTCCCATCGTGGCCACTCCGCTCACCCGACAGCGGCAGGAAGGGCAGGGACAGGGGCAGAGCAGCAACAGCAACAGCAGCAGAACAATCACCCCCCATCCCATGGGTGCCCAGGAAGGGGGAACTTGTCCCAAATATCCTGGGGGGAGCGTGGGAGGTCGTGACATACTCGGGCTGCCAGCACAGATTTCCCTGTAAAATCTGCAGTGAGTCAAGGTGTGCAGAGGAGATTGTGCCCCATGGATGGGATTGCAGAGGGGCCCTCAGGTCCCCAGCAGGAATCAGCAACCAGGAATAGACAAAAAAAGGCCCCCACGAAGATTTGGGGGGCAGTGTCCTGTAGGGAGGGGACAGTGTCACCCCACCAGGGCAGGGCTGGCAAGTGGGAGGCTGCTCCAGGGCTCTGCAAGAGGCCTCGTGCTCTGCTGGGCCCCAGCACTGCCTGGTACCAACACCCCCGGCTGCCCCCGGCCCTGGGCAGCTCTGCTGCCACAGGCTGTGCCCTCACCGTGGCCCTGCAATGGCCCTGCCTGTCCCTCACCCGTGGCCCTGTCCCTTGGCTCTCTCTCTGCCAGCTCAGTGTGGGGCACACGGGCTGGGGGTCCCTCCCAAGCCCCCCGGGCAGCCGGCGTTGGCTGGGGGGATGTGAGGGCTGGGCCTGCTCAGCACAGCCCCGGCCTCGTGCCCAGCGCCTCTTTCCTGACCCACACAAGACCTTCCCGGCCCCCCCAGGGCTCCCCTGCTGCTGCCTCTGCTCCTGGCCCTGCCTTTGCTGCTCCCTTGGCTGGGGCAGCGGCTGCAGGGGGGGATGGCAGCAGCTTCAGCTCCACGGCACTTCCTGGGGGAGCTCAGCCCGGGGGGGACGGGCAGGGACCTGATGGGGATGGACAGGGGCCCAGCAGGGACAGACAGGGCCTGCAGGGGAAGGCACAGGGACAACCTGGACCCCCACACTGCCACTGCTGTCTCTGCTCCTCCTTGCAGGCTCCGTGGCCAGGCACAGTTTGTGTTCCTGGGTGCCACCATCTCAGCACTTGCAGCCGCTCAAATCAGCGCCCGCAGCTCTGCAGCAAAGCCCCAGCTCACCTGGCACACAGGGGATGGACACAGCACCTGCTCAGGGATGGGCATTCACACCTTCTTGTTTTCCCCACCACGGGGCTCTCCTTCCTCAGCAGCACCTCTGCCTTGCACTTATTCTCAGCCTCACCTCAGGGACAGCTCTGGGCTCACCTCCGCGCCACTTCTCAGCCTCACCTCAGGGCCTGGGCTCAAGGACAGGAACCTGCAGGGAGGGGACATCATGTGCAAGCTGAGGGCTGCCTGCTTGCACTGGCCTCTGGGCTTCTTTCTCCTTCTACAACCAGCCCACAACTTAGCCTGCTTTGCTAACACCACACATTTACAGACTAACCTTGGAGATAGTTATGGACAGACACCTCTATCACCCTGGGGATGGAGCCTCAAGCATGTGCTGCCATAGGAATGGGAATCACAGAATCACAGAATCAGCCACGTTGGAAAAGACCTCCGAGATCATCAAGTGCAACCCTGGATCCAACCCTGCTGTGCTTCCCAGACCATGGCACTGAGGCCACATCCACTCTCACCTTCAACACCTCCAGGGACGCTGACTCCACCCCCTCCCTGCCCAGCCCATTCCAAGGCCTGATGACTCTCTCTGCAAAAAATTGCTTCCTAATATGCAACCTAAACCTCCCCTGGTACAGCTCAAGACCCAGCCCTCTTGTCCTACTGCTGCTTCCTGGCAGAACAGCCCCACCCCCACCTGGCTCCAACCTCCTGGCAGGGACTTGCAGAGAGTCAGGAGGTCTCCCCTGAGCCTCCTCTTCTCCAGCCTCAACACCCCCAGCTCCCTCAGCCTCTCCTTACCCCACTTGTGCTCCACTCCCTTTTCCAGCCTTGTTGCTTTTCTCTGCACCTGCTCCAGGCCACCAGCCATTGGCCCTCTTGGCCACCTGGCCACACTCTGCCTCCTCTTCACCTTCCTGTCCATCCAAACTCCCAGCTCCCTTTCTGCCTGCCTGCTCTCCAGACACTCTGGCCCCAGCCCGGGGGGCTGATGGGGCTTCTTGTGGCCAAAGGGCAGGACCCGGCCCTTGGGCTGCTGGAACCTCATCCCCCTGGAATCAGCCCATGGATCCAGCTTGGCCAGGTCCCTCTGCAGAGCCCTCCTGCCTTCAGCACATCAACACACCCCCAGCTTGGTGTCAGCTGCACATTTGCTGATGAAATGCCTGGTTCTGCAGCAGCTGCAGATGCTCAAGGGGCAGCAGGACCAAGTCAGGGGCCTGGGGGGGCTCTAGAGGGGCTTTGGGGTGTGGGAGGGTCCTGGGGGAGCTGGGGAGGGGCTTTGGGGATTGGGGGTACAGACCAGGACAGACCAGTACAGACCAGTACCTCCTCACTGCTCCCCAGATCTCTCCTGGAGCTGGGCCACGTTGTCCTGGGACACCTGAGCCCCCCCAGTGCCCTCCCAGTACAGCCCAGTGCCCCCAGTACAGCCCACTGTGCTCCTGTCCCAGGGTGCTGGGTGATCCCTCTTTGGGGGGGTTGGAAGGGATTTGAGGGAGGACTGGAGGAGATTTGGGGGGGAGGTTGGATAGTAATTTGGGGGGTTTTGGTGTCTTTGGGTGCATTTAGAGGAGTTAAAAGGGGTCTTGGGAGGTCAAAGGGATCTGTAGGGGGAGGGGATTAAAAGGAAAATGGGGGTTGGGAGACATTTCAGGGGGGTTATTGATTTCTAGGGCATCTGGGGACACACTGGGGACAGTCAGGGGGCTTTGGGGGGCACTGGGTGTTTACTGGGGGATACTGGGACACACTGGGGGGAACCAGGGGGCACGGGGGGGGACTTGGGGGTTACTGAGGGACACTGGGAGGGACTGGGGGCGAACTGGGGCATACTGGGGGGCACTGGTAGAGAACTGGGGAGTTACTGGGGGATACCAGGACACACGGGGGGGACACTGGGAGGTTACTGGGCCAAACTGGGGGCAACTGGGTACTCACTGGGATACACTGGGTGGTCACTGGGCCATCCTGAGGGTCATTGGGAGCTTATTGAGATATACTGGGGGCACTGGGATGCCCTTACACGGATGTAGTATATCTTCCCCCTTTGATTTTGGGGAGCATCCCTAGGACCCCTCCCCTGGGGGCTGAGGGACCCCTTGAACCCACTGCTGGGCTTTAGGGGACTCCACAAAATCCCCTCAAAACCCCTGAAATCCCCTCAGAAATCCACCCCAGGACCCATCAAAACCTCCTCAAGGACCCCCCAACTCCCCTAAGAGACCTCATCCCCCCACCCCGGGCCCCCTAAACCCTCTCAGTGACCCGCAAAACACACCTGGCACCCCCCAAGCCTATTAAGGGATCCCCCCAGTCCCTCTAAGGGAGCCTCAAAGCCGTCTGGAACCACCTAGAGACCACAAAAACTGCTGCAAACGTCCCCGCAAAACCCACCCAGGACCCCCAAACCCCCTCAGAGATCTCCCCAGCCCACCTGTGACCCTCCAATCTCCTCAGAAACCAAAACTCCCTCAGGGACTCCCAAATCCCTTCAGGGAACTTCAGCCTCCCCCCCCCCCCCCCCGAGTCCCCTCAGGACACCGAACCCTCGCAGGGACCCCTCAAAATCTCCTCGGGAACCTCCGAACCCCCCCGCTAAACCCTCCCGAGCCCTCCAGCCCTACCACCCCCAGCCGCGCTCCCCGCAGCCCCCGAGGGGACCCCCAGACCCCGCTCCCCCCGCAGCCCCCGAGGGGATCCCCAGACCCCGCTCCCCCCGCAGACCCCGAGGGGATCCCCAGACCCCGCTCCCCCGCAGACCCCCCCAGCTCACACACCCAAGCGCAGCTTTTCCCGGATCCGCCGCCCCGTCTCCCCCACGCGCCAAAGATGGCGCCCTTCGCGCGCTCCGGATTGAGACACCCCCGCCGCAGCCAATCAGCGCGCGGCCACGCCCCCTTCCCGCCCTCCGCCCCGCCCCCGCCTCGCGCGGGGCCCCCCCGGGAGATTCCCCAGTCAGTTCCTGGGAACAGCCCTGGCAGCGCAGCCCCCAAGGGCACACGATGTGCTGCTGGGCTGGAGAGGACCCTCCTCAGCCTGGGCAGCAGGGCTGCGGGGGGGAATTCCCTGCCCCTCCCCAGCTGGGCCCTTCCTGCCCACCAGCTCCTGCTCCAAAGGGCTCCCACACACCCTGGGACACTTGTCCCACTTGGGCCCTTGAGCTGCCCCGGGGCATCTCTGGGCAGTGGCCAGTTCTGGGACTCCTCTGGCAAGTCATGGCCTGAAGCCAGGAGTGTGAAATTTAGGAGACACTTGAAACCTCTGCA